TCCTGAACCATTCCAAAACACCAATTCTGGTATGTTGTTGATGGGGAATTCTTTTAACACGAATGTGCGCGGCGCTCAGGCGAGAGCCACATTTTGAAAAGGAACGGCCCTCAATCCGTGAAACCCGTGCAAATGTTAAATCAAGAAAGTGCGCCGCGCTCAGGCGAGAGCCACATTTTGAAAACGACTCGCCCTCAATCCGTGAAGGTCTTGCAAATGTTTAACAAATTTGCGCCGCGCTAAGGCGAGAGCCACATTGTGAAAACCACCCGCCCTCAATCCGTGAAGCCCTTGGAAAGTTTAAAACGAATGTGCGTCGCGCTGAGGCGAGAGCCACATTTTGAAAACCACCAGCCCTCCATCTGTGAAGATATTGCCAATGTTTAAGCTTCATAGCCATAAGTGGTGAGGATGTCCGGGGCGAAACGCCCGGCCCGCCCTAAAAACTGGCCTCGGGGTGCGACAGGGAGACGTGATCTATAAGGGAAAGGAAAGGATCGGAAAGGAAAGGAGAGGAGGAGGAGGAGGAGGAGGAGGAGGAAGAGGGGGAGGAGGAAAGGGAGGGGGAAGGGGAGGGGGAGGGAGAGGGGGGGAGGGGGAGGATGGGGAGAAAGGGGAGGAAGAGGAGCACGAGGAGGACATGGAGGACGGGAGGGGTAGGAGGAGCATGATTAGGAGAGGAGGAGGAGGAGGAGGAGGATGAGGAGGAGGAGGAGGAGGAATAGGAAAAGGAGGAGGAGGAGAGGACTAGGAGGACGAGGAGAAGGAGGAGGAGGAGGAGGAAGAGGATAGGGAGGAAGAGGAGGAGGACGAGGAAGAGGACGAGGTGGAGGCAGAGGCGGAGGCGGCGGCCGCGGCGGCGGCGGCGGAGGAGGAGGAGGAGGAGGAGAAGGAGGGGACGCAGGAGGAGGAGGAGAAGGAGACGGAGGAGGAGGAGGAGGAGGTGGAAGAGAAGGCGGACGAGGAGGAAGGTGAGGCGCAGGAGGAGGAGCTGGAGGAGCACGAGGAGCACGAGGAGCAGGAAAAGGCGTAGGGAGAGAGGGAAGTGCTATCCAGGCGCCGCCGCTGCCGGCGCCAGGTCCCCCGCGCACCCCGCCGCGCGCGGCGGGGTTGCCGTCGCTGGCCGCGGCGCCAGGTCCGAGGCGGCCAGGTCCCCCGCCCCGGCGAGACGCAGGCATCCGCGGGAGTCTCGGGGGCGGCCAAGGTCGGGGGTGGCCAAGAGTGGGGTGATGGCCAGAGGGGGGTGGATATCATGGCCATGGTTGTGACATCTCTCCAGATCGCATGGCGCCGCTTCTTACATGAATGCGTCCCCTGCCCATCCCCCCCCCCCTCCCCCGGGCCGCGCACTTGCCTCGGCTCATCATGATTCCGAGCCCTCTTCTGTCCAAGATTCTAGAGGAACGTTCTGGTGCTGTTTTGTCAGCCCGCCTGGGGCGTCAGGGTATTGTAGCCGTGGTCTCCTCGGATTTCATGCCCCCCCATTCTTATTTCGATACGCCCCTTGCCCCCCCCCCCCCCCCCGTGGGACGCGCACGCGCCTTTGGCCGCGATCTGCGAACCCTTCCTCGTTGATACCCCCTCTTGGACGCCCCCGAAGGAGGCACCTGCACATCACCACCGTGTCTGTCAGGAGGAGAAAAGTCAGGAGGAGAAAAACACACAGACACAATTAATTGCATGGAAATGTTGGAAAATATGGGAAGTGGGGGCGAAGACGAACGCCCAGAAATATGGGGCGAATATGGGGAATCCTGGGATTTGTGTTTATTTAATCGCTTCGCTCATGCCGCCGGCCCTGGAGCCCTCTTTAGGGCCTCTTGGGGGCCTCTTGGGGACCTCTTGGGAGTCTCTTGGGGCTCCTTGGCGGCGTTTTGGAGGCCCCCAGGGCCTCTTGGGGGCTCTTGGGGGTAGTCGATTGCGGCTCCCCCCTCGGAGGCCACGATCCTCGTGAGGGGTGTCGAAAAATACCCTCCCCTGGAGTGGTCTGGTGGCTTCTCCCGGGCTTCTCTCGGGACCTTGCCGGGGTACTTTTCGTCCGGGGGTATTTGTGACCCAGGGTTCCTTTAATCTTGCCAGGGCCACCTTGGGCCCAGAGGGCAACAGCAGAAGCACAAGGTTCCCGATTGTTTCGGTACACAGTTTTGGTATGGGTTCTTGCGCTACTTCCTGGAGGTTTTCTCGCCTCGGGATGCTTCCCAGCAGCCGCGCCTCGCCGAGGGCTTTCCGGGGGATGGCAGAATCGTCCCAAGCAGCCGCCAGAGGCCCGATTTAGGGCCCTGACACCAATGATTCGGGGATGGACATACCTCCTACCCTGACACGTCGGTTAAGGAATTGGGCCGTTTTCGGTTCGCGAGAGGGCGTCGCGGCCGTCATTTTTGCGGGTCCAGGTCTGTCGGTTTCGGTCCCAGGCCGTTTTCACTAAGGGGAGGTCTTTTAAAGGGAGGTTTGTCCACCGCCGAATGATTATATCCGACGGCGTGATTTTTGTGTAATCCTGATGGTTTCCCTCGACGCTGGCCCCGGGGGCCCGTCGTCGGGCCCCAGGGCCACCCTGCGGTGGTAGAGCCATGACGCAACACCATGCCCTTGGTATCGCTCGGACGTGTGCACTCTTTCTTCGGCGGGGGGTAGTAAGGAGCATCCTGGATCATCCTGCGAAAAAAGCCACGCGCGAAACCGACAAAACACAGGGAATGGACGTCCGAGCGATGGCCAGGGATCATCATGCGAAAAAAACACGCACGAAACCGAAACATGCACAGTGAATGGACGTCCGAGCGATGGCCAGTACCCGGGCAGGGGTGGGGACATCGATTTGTGGCCGCGGGCTTGCATCAAACATCGGAGGAGCTCCGGGTCCTCTCCGAGGCGAAGGCGGAGTTTCAGTGGCACGCCGCCCGCTGGGAGCCGTCAGCGTGCTGCTCCCTCGTTTTTGCCCGAGGGCCAGGCGTCTCTTGCACAGCAGCGCGCTGATAGGCTCCCCCGGCGGCGTGCTCGCCGAGGCTGGTGGAGGGCCTCGAGACTGGTGTCGGGCCTGTCCCTCTACAGGAGGAATATTCAAAAATAGCCAAAAATAATCAGGGGACGATGTTTTAGATATTTTGTTAAGCCATTTTGGAATATTTGTTTAGTATTGTTTTCATGTTTCGTCGCACATTCCCCTGCAGGGGGACACGCCCGACTTAACTCGAGACCATCTGCAGATATCCGATGATTCCCACTGGTCGTTAAAAGTAGGCACTCGTAGAGCCAAGTCTACTTGAGGCTAACGCTTTTCCTTCTTCCCTACTCTTCGGGGGGCGGGCGCAGATTTGGTCTTCTTCGAACGCCTTCCTGATGTTTCTACCCGCTTCTTCCGACCGACGGGTATGATTCTTCAATCCGCGTCCCCAGAGGTCCTGGTCCCTAGCATTTTTTGCTGCAAATGGTGATTTTGCCGCGTTTCGGGCCCCAGGGCCCTCACGGATCGATTTGGCTCGAAAAAGTGTTGTCGAAAGATGCGGTCCAGGGCGCCCGTCATTTTTGTTTGTTGGCCACGACGTTGTTTTTTTTCCGTGACGTCGGATCTCAGGGCTTCGCGGCCGCAGATAATCGCCTTCGGGTGCATTTTTAGTGCCCTGGGCTGCATGGCGGGCCCCGGAAGGCATTGTTTTTCACCGCCCACCAAACCACGCCGACCCATCTCGAAGGCTCCAACATGTCCTCGTCTCCCGGCGGGGGAGGGGCGTCGGAGAACCTTTGAAACACACATGGGGAGCCCGTACCCCCCCCAACCCGAAATTCGAATATTCGGGTTAGGTTCGGTTCGGGTGAGCTGGCAGGTATTCAGTTCTGGGCCCCCCAAAGAGGACAGCATCGCTGGAGATCTGGGTCAGGGGCCCCGGGCACCCACAGCCGGGCCCGCTGTGGTGGTCACCGGGTGCCTCCTGCGCGCAGTCGGCCACGCGTCAGAGTGGCCTTTGGCTGGAGTGGCCTCTGGTGCGGGCTCACAGGGGCCCCCCAACCTCAAGAGGAGGAGAAGGTACACCCCGGTCGTTGAAAGTAAGGTATTCTTGGGCTCCCAGATCTCACTATACTTCAAGGGTCGAGCGGTTTCCCTTCTCCTTCCTCTCTAGAGGGCGGGCGGAAGCCCGATCTATTTTCAACGACTTCCTGCTTCCTGCTTCTGCCCGCGTCTGCCGCCCGACGGGTCGGCGAAACCGCTGCTCTTCCCTCGTGTTTCGCCCTTTCGGGCCTTCCGGGAGGCCCGAGTCGCGTCGGAGTTGTTGTCAGGGCGCAGCCCGGGAGACGTCTGGGGTGTAGCGGTATCGGTATTGTTTGGTGTTTTTTCCCGACTCTTTGCTTTGCGCGCTTTGATATGGCCTCTCCGCGGCCACGGGAACCCGCGCACCCAGGGTCACTCCTGCCTATTTTGATCACCGCCGAGGATACTAAGGGGATAGGGGGGGGGGGAAGTGGATGCTCATATGGTGATCTCTGGCCTAACCTGGCGCATAAGTAAGTTACACCTGCCCTAAGCGGCTTAGAAAGGGATAAGGCAACTCTGCCAAGTGGGCTCCGCCCACTTAGCCCAGATCTCGGCTCCCCGCACGCCGCTCGGCCGCTCGGGGTAGCTGCAGCCCACTTCCAAGCCAGGCTGGGCCAGACATTGCCCACCTCGGCATCCGCCCAGAGCAACCCCAGCGTCGTGACACGCAGCGGTGGATGGGGGAGGAGGTGAGGAGGAAGGGGAGGAGGAGGAGGAGGAGGAGGAGGAGGTGGAGGAAGCAGAGAAGAGGAGGAGGAGGAGGAGGAGGGTGAGGAACAGGGGAGGAGGAGGAGGAGGAGGAGGAGGAGGAGGAGGAGGAGGAGGAGGAGGAGGAGGAAGGAGGAGGAGGAGGATCAGGAGGAGGAGGAGGAGGGGGAGGAAGCAGAGAAGAGGAGGAGGCGCAGGAGGAGCAGCAGGAGGACGGGGGCCGAGGAGAACGCGGGGGAGCTACTCCGGCCCCGTGCAGCCGAGCACAGGCAGCAGTCGCACGAGCGGCCCGCGCCCCGGCGGCCGGGCAGCCCCGCCCCGCGCGGCCCCTCCGAGAGCCCAGCGCCCCGCCGCGGCGCGCCGGCGCCGGCCCTGCGCCGCGCGGCCTCCGGCCAGGCGGCGCAGTTCGCCGCCCTCCGCGGTGGGCAGCAGGATCGGCGGCTTTCGAATCTTACCAGCCTCGAGGGTCTCCCTATCCCTGAGATCGACACGCCAAAAGGCGATGACGGTCTCAGGGATGCGCCCTCAAAAGATCAGGGAATCCCTAAGATTGGCATCGTGATGAGGAGGTGCCCAGCATAGGGATAGGGATATGTTGCAGGCTGGTGCGAATCAGGAGGGGGAAAAGCACACAGACACAATGAATCGTCGATTCCCCAGGAAATGTGGGAAACAATGGGAAGTGGGGGGGGAGACCAGAACCCAGAAGATATGGGAAGATATGGAGAATCCTGTTGTTGATGTCTATTTATTTGTGTGTCCCAGGGCCCCTTCATCGAAGACGAGATATCGGCATGATGAACATAGGTTTTCAGAGCTAGGCGCAGATTTCCTGGATCTGCGTTGAGCCCCCCCGCGGCGCCTCCGGAGCCGCCCCTGGCGCGCTCCGCGCGCCAGGAGGGGGGGTCAAGCGCGGATGCAGGAAGTCCGCGCGGTCCTCCAACAGTTTATGTTTATGCTGTTTCTTTCCCAGATGGGGTCGGAGCAGATGGGGTCAGAGGATCGCGCCGCATCGCCAATGCATCGGGCGTGCGGCTTGATGTGGGGTCCTATTTTCTCCACGCCGACTGCGCCAATGCATCGCCGATGTCTCCGCTGAATCGCGGATGTATCGGCGGTGCATCGGCGATGCGGCGTGATCCTCCGACCCCATTTGCTCCGACCCCAGCTAGGAGTCCTTCCCAGAACCTCTCGCGTTGTGGAAAAGTCATGATTGACGTCTTTTGCCAGTTCTCAGCATCTCGGGGCCTTCGCCAGGCCCTGGGATTGAAAATCGATTCAGGATGCAATGCTGGTCCCAGGTTCCAGGGAATGGTGACAGACCTCTGGGGACCACGTCGTGAGATCACGATGTCTTAAGAGTGAATTGGCGCCTCAGCTCGCAGGAGAACACCATTTCATACACATAAACATTCGGGGCCCCGCTCGGATTTCTTGGATCGGCGCTGGCCCCCCCTGGCGCCGCTCCTCGCGCGCTCCGCGGGAAGGGCGATGGAGGGCGATCTGGCGCAGTTCTCCCCTCAGCCCTCCCGTTTTTAAGTGTTCTTCTTGTCCTCCGCCTCCCCCACCTCCTCCATCCTCCTCCTCCTCCTCCTCCTCCTCTCCTCCTCCTCCTCACCCACCTCCTCCATTCCTCCTCCTCCTCCTCCTCCTCCTCCTCCTCCTCTTCCTGATCCTCCTCCTCCTCCTCCTCTTCCTCCCTCTCCCCCCCTCTCCCCCTCCTCCTCCTGCAGGAGGCCGACCTGCTGGAAGAGCGGCCCGTCTCGCCAGCCTCCGCGCCGACGGCGCCGGCTGCGTCGCTGGACTCGGCCTCCCCGCCGAGCACGAGCGCGCAGTCCAGCTGCGCCGCCCCCGCCGCGGCCAGCCCGCAGCTCGCCGCGGTGCCCGAGGCACGCACGGGGGGTCGGGGCACAGGTAGCCCCTGTCGGCGGCGAGCCCGAGAGGGAATGCAGTGGGGCTGGGCCTTCTCAGAAGGCTCGGACGACCTGTGGCCCTCTGCGGAGTTTTCTGACCCTGCCCCCCTTTTCCGAAGACACAGATGGCTTCTGAGAAGGCCGGGGGGGCTTCCGAGAAGTCCCGCGGCCTTCGGAGAAGGCTTGCCGCCTCTTGCTTCCCCCCATGCCCCCCAGGCTCGTCGCCCCCGCTCAGCTGAGATCCAAGCACCGCAATTTTTGCACACTGGGCGATTTTGCCGTCTGGGCCCGAGGGCCCTCACAGATCGATCCGGCTCGAAACATACATCATACAGATAGGGTCTGGGGATCTGGCCGATTTTTCTACAATGCTGCCATCTTGTTCGTGACGTCGGACATCATGGGTTTGGGCCGCAACGTGAACCCTGTCAGAGGTTGGGGCGTGAGGCAGAAGTGAAACAGAGTCCCCAAAGACATCGATATCGATCCCGGTTTCAGCTCGTGTCTTGCGTGACGTGCGTGTGGGCGAGGCGAAGTTCTGTGAGTTTCTGCAACAGCTAGGTCCAGACCACCCCAGCATGGAGACGTGTCCTCGACCTCCAGGGCGTGCCAGGGTTGTGCCGCGGTGGTTGTCCGATGGCTGTCCCGCGCTTGCCTTGTGATTGTTCGATGCTTGACCCGATGGTTGTCCCGTTGTCCGTAGTGTTTTCCCGACGATTGTCCAGCTGGTTGTCCAGATGGTCATCACGATTGTTGTCCCAATCGTTATCCAGCCCGTGGTTGTCCCGATGGTTTTCCCAATAGTTGTCCCGATAGTTGTTCCGATTGTTGACCCGATAGTTGTCACGATGGTTGACCCGATGAAATCCCCTGGATGTCCCGATGGTTGTTCCGACGGTTGTCCCGATGGATGTCCCGATGTATGTCTCGACGGTTGTCCCGATGTTGTCCAGCCATTATTCCTATAGTTGACCCGACGGTTGTCCCGTGGTTTGCGAATTGGCACCGAAAACTCACCCTACTCGCATTTGTCCCGCAGGATGGTCTTGGATGATACGGGGGGCATGAAGGGGAAGATGAGGGCTGGAATATTACACGCTCTACACCAAATCCGCCAGGTGTGTTGTTGGTGGGACTCATACTGAGGGTGGATCGAGGTGACTGGGGAAGAAGGAGAGTGACGGGGTGAGGGGGGGAGGAGAAGGAGATAGAGACGAGGATGGAAACAAGAGAAGAGAACGGGAGGGCGGCGGGGAAGGAGGGAAGGCAAGGCCGGCGGAGAAGGAGGAGGAGGAGGGAGCAGTGAGGGTCATCAGAGGGGGAGGAGGGGGAAGGGGGAGGGGAGGACGAGGACGAGGAGGACGAGGAGGAGGCGGGGCGGACGCCTGAGCGCCGAAAGGCCCGATGCGGGGCGCTCCCGAGCTCGCTCCGCCTGCCCCTGGACCGGGCGCTGGGCCGCAGGCCGGCCGACGTCGGCCTGCTCGCGGAGCTGCCGCCGCCGGACGTGCCCATACACCGTGACCCCGAGGACGTGCAGGGGAAATTCTTGACGCTTCGCGTATCCCCGCCAGCCCGGCAGTTTGCGCCTAGCAGCCAATTAGGATTGTTTCCGCGCCCCGGACAGCTGCTGTCTCCGCCTGCGCTTTCGCTTGCGGACGCGACCGAAAAAATCCCCGCCAGCCCTTAGTTCTACGGCTTCTGACCCTGGTCGTCGTTTCTCCCGACTTCCTGGTGCTTCCGGCGCCCTGCATACTTGCACGCTGGCAGTTCGACTCAGTTGCAGTCACCCCTGCCACCCGCCCGCCGCTGGGCCACCGCGTGAGGCCTCGGCTTGCTGCGTTAGACGTGGCCTGTTCGCGCTGCCTTCGCTTAATTCGTCTCTGCGTAGCCCGCCTTGACCTGACTCGCCGCCGGCGCGCTCGCCCGCGGCCGCTGACTAAACAGTATCCCCGCCAGCTTTTTCCGTCTCTCTTCTCATTTCTCTCGTGTGCAATTTAGGCTCCCGCTGGTTAGCGCGGCCCTTCCGTTTGCGCTCGCGGTCAAAACACATCCCCACCAGCCTCCACCGCCGCTCCTGGTTTCGCTCGCTCGTCTTCGCGCTCGGCACCTACTCCATGGTCCTCGTGCTGCTCCCCCGCACCCGCGCCTTTTTTGGCCGCCCTGAGTTCCGCCTGTACGGGCGTGCTGGCTGCCCTGTTTTTGACTGGCGTCCGTCTTGATTCGTGCGCCTGCGTACCCCGAAATCCCCACCAGCCCATCCAGACACGGTCGCCAGGGTAGTTGCATTGACGGTGCCTTTTCGGGGGTGAGGGGAGGGCGGGAACATGCTTTGTATGAGTCTTCAATCAGTATGTTCAATATTTCGGCTTGGCGCCATTTTGGCTCTATGGGGTCTTCTTGGGGTCCTCTTCGGCAAATGTTGACCTGCCGTGGTTCTGTCACTGGGGCTCCTGCACCACAATGCCTCCAATGCTTTTCCGAACGGTTGAAAGACTTAATATCATATTGCGCCGAGTGAGAGAGGAGGAAGAGGAGGAGGAGAAAGAAGAAGAGGCGGCGGCGGAGGATTGTAGTGTAATGCTAATGCATTGGGTAGGAGGAGGAGGAAGAGGAGGAGGAGGAGGAGGAGGAGGAGGAGGAGGAGGTGGAGGGAGGAGGAAGAGGAGGAGGAGTGGGAGTGGGGGGGAGGGGGAGGCGGAGGGGGAGGAGGAGGAGGTGCATGCGGCCCTGGATGTGTCACTCGTTGCCATTGCTTTTCCGAACGGGTTAAGAACAATGTGAACACTTCATGCCCCGAATGAGAGGAGTAGGAGGAGGCGGAGGAGGCGAAGGAGGAGGAGGAGGAGGAGGAGGAGGAGGAGGAGGAGGAGTGGGGTTGGGCGTCCCTTTCAGCTTTCCTGGGGTCATCTTGGGGTAGACCGATCAAAGAAGGAGGGGGAAACAATTTAGGTCCCCGCGTTGGGACGGTCTCAGACGTCTCTTGGAGCGTTCGGGGCTCTCTTGGAACCTTTTGGGACCTCTTGGGAGGTGTCTGATGGCCATCTTGGACCTCTCTTGGGTCCCGTTGGCCCAAGAACTCAACGGATGGGGGGGATCAGAAATTCCCGTCCCCCCCTCGGAGGCTCGAACATAGCCTCTCGGTGCCCTCTTGGTCCACTCTTGGAAGTGTCTGGGGCGCTCTTGGAGCCGTCTCGGGCCCGTCTTGGGACTATCTAGGGCCCTCTCGGGGCCGTCCTGAAGTCCAAGAAGCCCACCGGCAGCGAAAAAGCGATACGCCCAAACATATTGTGAAAGCCAGCGCCGCCGACCCCAAGGGGCGACGACGACCATCACCACCACGACGACAACGACAACGACGAGTTGATGACGCTGCCACAGGCTCGTGACATTGGGCGGGCGTTGGAGGGAGGAGGCAGAGGCAGAGGCAGAGGCAGAGGAGGAGGAGGAGGAGGCGGAGGAGGAAGAAGAGGAGGAGGAGGAGGAGGAGGCGGAATTGGTGAGCCACGGTTTGCGGCTCACCACCTTGCGCTTGGTGAGCCCTCGCCGGGGCGCGGCAGAGGCCTGCCGAGGTCTCCGCCCGCCCCTTCCGGGCACCCCTCGAAGTTGCCGAACTTAGGCTCGGGGGCGGAGCAGCAGCCTGCGCCTCGAAACGTGCAAGGCGGAGTTGCTTCACAGGCTTCGGCAGTTTGGGGCCTCTGCGGGGCCCCAGGGCTTCGCGCATCCCCACCAGTCCATCCAGGAACGATGCCCTGGGGGAGTAGAGGTGATCAGGGGAGTGGGGGAGCATGCAGCAGGAAACAGGGCGGGGGAAGCCGTCATATACCCCAAGAGGGGGAGGATGGAGGAATCGTCGTCGGCGGAGGGGGATGAGGAGGAACAGGAGGAGGTGAAGGAGGAGGAGGAGGAGGAGGAGGTGGAGAAGGGCGAGGACGACGAGGACGAGGAGGAGGAGGAGGAGAAGGAGGAGAAGGACGGAGAGTTAGCTTCCTGGGCGATCCTCTCGAGGCCTCTTATGGGGTCTCTTGGAAGCCTATTGGAGGCCTCTTGGGGCCGTCTGGGCGCTTCTTGGGGCTCTCTTGGGGCCCTCTTGGGGCGCTCTTGAGAGCTACAGGGGCGCTCTTGTGGCCATCTTGGAGGACATCGGTCAAAAAAGAGGAGAGCTCCAACTGCTATCTCCCCTCGGGAGCACCGAACACCGCCTCCTGGATCCCTCTTAGAGCGCTCTTGGGACGCTCTTGGGCGCTCTGGGGCCGTCTTGGGGCTCTCTTGGGCCTCTCCTGGGGCTCTCTTGGGCCATCTTGGGGCCATCTTGAGGCCCCGGATGGCCATCGGAAGCGAGAAGGCGAGACAGCAACCACCATTGATTTTCCTTACAGGTCTCGGACGCCTCTTTGAACCGTCTTGTAACGTTCTTGGCACCTCTTGGAGCAGAACGGAAGCCATCTGGAGGCATCGTGCGCTATCTTGAATTATCCTGGAGCTCATCTTGGACTCTCAGAGGCTCTCTTGGAGCCGTCTTGGTCTATCTTGGACGCTCAAACGCCTCGCGGCCACCCCCATCTGTATCCAGAGGAGGGGGTAGGGGGAGGGGTAATACCCTCCCCGAAAGGAAAAGAAAGGGGGTTGGAAGAGGAGCCTCCCTAGACCACCTACGCCCAGAGGGCTGGTGGGATTGCCCCAGCCAAGCACCCTAATAGCAGCAACCGTGACATGTGGGCCCTGTGGGGCCGGGGGACTACGGGGTTTCTGCGATCTTTGGGACCTCAGGGACTTGTGTGACCTGGTGGACCTGCGAGACCTGCGAGACCTAGCAACGTCATCACAGAGTCTGTGGCGGCGAAGTGGGGGCGACCGCGCGCGTGCCCCCACTGCGGGGCGGCGACCGAGGACCTGGAGCACAGGCTCTGGGCGTGCCCGCGATGGCAGGCCACCCGCGACGCAGCGCTCGCGGCGGGAGGGTTCACCCAGGCCGCCGCCTTCGCCTGCCTGCCGGCCAGGGTGGCGCGCACGGCGCTGCTGCCCGAGGACGCCCACCTGGTCACGCTCGCGGACGAGGTCCAGCAGGCGCTCCCGCTGCCGCAGTTGCCAGACCCCGCGACGCCAGAAATGCCGCAGGGCAGAGTCCGGGCTTGGACCGACGGCTCGTC